CACCATCTGTAGCTCTGAGGCTCCAGCTCTTAGGCCTCTGCTCCTGAAAGCAGGTATCTGATTTGTTTCAGTTCTATAATCGAAACTCTGTATCAACTCCAGCTCTGAGATCTCAGCTCGCTGAAAGCAGGTTTCTGGAGTTTTTTTTTAGCTTCTATATGTTACTATGTTTCAAACTGCAGGCTCAGAGGCCTGCAGTGGCAAGCAGGGAACGTTGGAGTCCACAGTCACTGAAGCAAGTAAGCCTCATGTTCAGTTTAAGCTGCCTGGCTGCCCGTCACCATCTTGGCTGTCAGTTAATTTGCATATCTCGATGATTAGCCAATGGGAAGGGTAGCGGTCGTACGCCAATTACCATGTTTCTCTTTTATTAGTGTAGATTGGATGACTCATCTTCCTGTTTGGACAAAAGCTTCTTGGGAGCAGGCACTGAGCATAGTGCCTTACACATACCTAATTTGAACATTATTATTTCTGTCCTTTTAAGGATAGAATCGAGAGTACTTATGTGGGTTTGAGTGAGTGTATGTGTGTATGTAAAATGCTCTGTGTGTATAAAATGAAGAGTTAGCTTGGGGATATCAGGTAGCCTTCATTTTCATAAGAAATGCACTGTGGGATAGTCACCCTAAGAGGGAAATTGACAACAGGCTCTATTTTTCTTAAGTAGTTTGGAATGAGAGCATGGTAGGATGGGAAGAGCTCAGGTGGATAGAATTGTGCCAGATGCCATCTCTACCACTTAATAGCTGTATGGCTCTAGGCAACTCACCGCTGGGAGCCTCCATTAACACTGTAGGAAAATCTACCGTGCGGGCTGTTATTTCCAATCATGTCCTTACATAATTTGGGCCTCGAATATAGTAAACTCTCAAATAATGACAGTTATATAACAGGTTTCTGACATTTAAAATAATCTTTAGGCAGTAGGAAAGCTTACATGGATAGTTTGCGTTGTTTTGATCTGTGTATTATGATCAAATCCTTTGGTTGCCTGTAGGATAAATCCACTAAAATCTAACACGTGAGCCTAGCACTCAGGGATCCTGTCCCGTTTTGTCTTTTGCTATTAAAGCTTCCTCCTGTCGTAAAGTTGTACAAACTTCAAGTCACATCCACCATCTCAGCGCCTCTGCCCCAGTACATGTAGCTTGCAGTGACCTCCTGCCTCTGAATTCCTAGATCCCCCTTCCTTTGCCACCTGTTGTATTCACCTGCATTATTTAGTTTTATAGTCATAGATTTCCTCTAAGTCAAAATAGGGCCACTCTTAATTCTTATTGTGAAATATAGTGTCTATACCAAAGAATATTTAAAAATGTAGTTTTCTAAAATACTCATCATCCAAGTTTATGGGACACAACCAGTACCTTAGAAGCTCCTTTTAGCCCCTTTCCCATCACAGCTTCCCTCTCTGCCAGAGAACCAGTATCGTGAAATTTTTATTGATTACAGTCTTCTATTCTTTTAATAGTACTTTTTGTTCTGCCCTTATATAAGTGGATTCATATGTATTCCTATTTGAATTTGCATATTTCTTTTTTCAGCATATTTAAAAATTTCATTTTCACTGCTGAATTGTATTCAATGATATAAATATACCTGAAGTGGTCCTTTTAAAAAAAAAGGATGTGAAGGCTCAGATCATATAACTTTGACTTTATTATACAGGACAGGCACAGAGAGCCATTTGTTTTAAAGTGAAGGGGTGATACTTGCTTTTGAAATTACATGAGGGAAAGTATCCGTGGCAAATTTTTTTGCCAGAGAGAGAAATGGAAATGCAGGAATATGAGCCTCCCCCTCACTGTCCTCCCCTTTCAACCAACTGAGAATGTGGGTCTGTTTCTAGAAAAAAATGATAGAAGCCTAAAAAGTTAAAAGAGCAGTTATAAAGTGGGAATACTTAATGAACTGATATTTAATAAATATTTTTAATAAAAAAAAAATAGAATGGGTAAATAAGCATAAAATCTCAGTGACATTCAGCATTAAGCCTGTATTTCTTGCTCATGTGTTGTTGGGTAGGCCCAGACAGCTCTGGTCACCTAATCTGAGTTTTGAGCCAGGCCACAGGCTTGATCCATGTCTGCTCCAAGTGTCTCAGTTCGGAACCTGCAGGCTGCCCAGGCCACATTCTCTGCTGCAGAAGTGGCAGCTTCTTAGAGAAGGTGAACAAAAACAGTTCACTGCTCCCCATATTCAGTTGTCCAAAGCAAATCCTCTGAGCATATCCAACATTAGTGAGGCAGGGACATGTACTCCTCACAGAGGCTGGGAAACGGAGTGAACACGCTCAACAATCATCTCACTGAACTTAATGGTCATCGAGTTGTTTCCAGTTCACACCTACTTCACAGTGCTGCTGCTCTGAACATTTTGATTATGTCTCCTGTCACACATCTGCAAGGGTTTCTTTAGGGTACATGCCCAGGAGCTGAGCATTTTCAATTTGAGTAGCTAATATCACATGGTTTTCTAAGCAGCTGTACATTTGCTATGCACAGTGAATTGTGTTTGGGTTGTTGCACTGAACCACTGATACTTTAGAATTTTGTGTCTATTTAACATACAGTTGAATAATTTAAAAAGCATGCCTAAGAATTTCCAGGGAACTCAATTTCCTTTCCAGCCACTGCTGTACGATGGAAGCTGCACTATTAGTCTGCAGAACAAAATGCTGCGTATCTTTTTGTTAGTGCTCAGAATCCACTAACCATTTCAACTTGTGTTCACTTGGCAGGTTTGGTGCAAATGCCAAAGTTGTGCATTTCCTGGGACGAATCAAACCGTGGAATTACACCTATGATCCTAAAACAAAAAGTGTCAAAAGTGAGTCCCATGATCCCACCATGACTCACCCTGAGTTCCTCAGCCTCTGGTGGGACATCTTCACCACCAGCGTTTCACCTCTGCTGCAGCAGTTTGGCCTCATCTCAGACACCCACCCACAACTCAATGTGGTAGGTTCTGTTTCTCCTTTAAGGTAATTTAATGCTGTGGTTTTTAAGAGAATCATTAATCGGCTGCCTCCTGCACACCCCCCACTGGGGAATGAGCCCACAACCTGGGCAATGTGCCCTAACCAGGAATCAACTGTGACCTTCTGGTTCATAGGTCAAAGCTCAACCACTGAACCACACTGGCTAGACAATGCTGTATTTTTAAAGTTTTGTATACCAGTAGACATGGAGTATTTGGTGGTATGTTAACAAAGAGATAAGATTGTGAGGATAGAAAACAATGTTCATCTTAGAAGAGAGAAATGATACCAGCAAAGACTAACGCAGAAGTAGAGTTTCTGGCAAATTTCCTCAGATCAGAGAACATAAGAAAGGGTTTTAGAAGTTTTACTATATTTCCACATATTGTAACTATAAACCTCTTGGCCCAACTGTCCTATGATTATTCCTAAAGCAGTGAATGCTACGTTTCATGTTTTCGAAACTGCATACATTTAAACATATTGATTTTATTTTTGCCATCTGCTCAGAAGAATGTATTTTCAGTGAAAATTACGGCATGAACATATAAACAAATACTTTTCCAGGATTATTTTGATATACCGTGTTTGTACTCTTATATGGTTATATAGGATCTTGTAAAAGAAATCTTGTAAGACGAAATGACATATTAACATTTACAATAAAAAAGTGCTTAGCATCTTTTCTGACTTTAAAGTTCTTCCTCTAAGGTTTGTTCTTTTGGAGGAATTGGGAAAGGATAAGAAATTAAATTTTTGGGAGGTAGTTGTGAGTAAAGTGGGGATAAATGGTGATGAATAGAGACTTGACTTGAGGTGGTGAACACACAGTACAAATGATGTATTATAGAATTGTACACCTGAAACCTATTTAATTTTATTAACCAGTGTCACCCCAAAAAATTCAATAAATTAAAAATAAATAAAACCTGTATGTTACATATTAAGATATAAAAAATAGAACTATGGGTAAGTTACAATCAAGTCTAACTGATCAGTTAATTGCCTTTCTATAAGAGACTATAAGGTTATAAGAGATACTTCTCTTTGCTCTGGTATAGATTTTAGCCATTTCACTTATTAGCACTTATAACAAAATATGAAAAGGAGAATGGGAAAAATAACTCACCGCTTACATTCTTACTCTAATTGCTTTGTATGGATCATGAAGTAACACTTGCACAGTACTTGGAACATTGCCTGGCACATAATAAGTGCTCAATAAAAGTTAGGTATTTTTATTTAACAGTTAAACTTGTCTATCAAGTAAGTATTATTATTGTTAATATCCTCTCTCTAGATATTAAAATTAACAGAAATGTAAAGAAGTTACATAACTGCTCTTATTTGTTTAACAGACTAGTCAGTAGGAGAACTGGGACTCAAATCCAGGTCTGAGAGACTGTTATCCTTATGAAAAATACGGTGAGCGGAGGACTCTGGAAGAGCCTCCCTAAATCATTCCTGTTGCAAATAGAAGGCAAAGGCAGAACTAATCCAAGGGAAGGACTTATATTGCCTCAGCTGTAATACAATCCCATGGAATCCACCCAAGTACCTTGGAGTTCCAGTGTATTTAAATGCATTCATATGCATTCACACATGCATGTAGATATAGCAACAAAAACAAGTAATCAGAAATTTTATTCTGCCAGTTTCTGTTAAAAGCAATACCTAAATGTATTCATCCGCCTTCCTTTTTCTCTTCCAAGATTTCCAGTACCTTCTCAACTCAGAGCTTTGTGAAGGATAGCTTTGATATTCCTTTAGCGTACAATTGGAGTTAATTGTGTGTCTATATGTAATAAGAATCTAATATAGAGTAGGTTTGCTCCATTTCCTGCACATTCATTTTGTTCCTTCCGCAACCCAAGGACTAAGAATTATGAACCAAGAAAAGTAAAGCTGGGAATTGAAACAGTAGTTCGAAACTAAGTTAATTACATGTGCAGAAGCTACAAGATTAGATGCTACGTGGTAATAAGCTTGAATAGGCAGATGAGTTTGGTGCATGGTCTCAAACCATTTAGCTCTCACTTTTATGATGTGACAACTTGTGTATGTGGTGCGGCTCTCTGGTTAGGTTCTTTCTGAAGCTTAGCCTCTAACGTATCATTTTGTTTAAGTTCTCAACCTTTCTGAGCTCATAAATCGAGACTTATGTATCATGAGACTGTGTTCCCTTGTCCATCATCTTACACTTTCTAATGAACTGTTTGCAGCTTTCAGACTTGGTCTGTACACTACACTGTCTTTCTCTTGTGGCTTCTCTAGAAAGGTATGCAGAACTTAAACATTAACCTTAATTACTTTGTTCTCTTAATGTTTCCACTGAGTCAAGAAGTCTTCATTTTGTTAGGGAAAAAATCATATGACCCTTGTATTTCTGTGTCCCTTTTTGTTTGTTTCATGTAATACTTTCCAGTTTTTGCTACTTTGCATGATAATTCATCCTGGCTTTTCTCACCTTCTTCAGTTTATTGCATTCTCTAAAACTGTCTGATTTTCAGCTCTCAATGAGTCTCTGATTATGCTCTCCTTTCTAGGAAGATGTCTCCGGAGCTGTGTCACATTTGTCCCTTGGGGAGACCCCGGCTACAGCACAGCCTTTTGTATCCTCAGAAGAACGGAAGGAGAGGTGGGAACAGGGCCAGGCTGATTACATGGGAGCAGATTCCTTTGACAACATCAAGAGGAAACTTGATATATGTGGTAAGGGAAACTCAAACTATTAAGATGGCTATATCAGCTCTTAAAATGGGCTGAGCCAGGGCCAGATCACTATCCCTTCAGAGTGGGACATGGTATCTGTCTCTGGCTTGCTGTTGCACGTTCGTAGACATGCATTTCAGAATTGTTCAGAGCTGCCCGAGTGATTACAGTTCTGCTTTCAGGTGAAGACAGCCTGTAACACTGCTGAGTGATGCATAAGCCCGTCAACAAATGGCATCAACCCATTTTCTTCCCTCACTTTAGTGTCTGAAGATGCCCCAGTTTTCCATGTACAGTGAGGCAGCATTCTAAATGCTTCTATTCAGTTCTGTATATCTGAAAACAGCGGTGACACCTTATATGAAAAATAAAGACTTATTGACATATCTTATTGTCTAGTTTAATTAAGGATTCCTACCCCTTGCAAAAAAATATATTGGGGAATTTTTCATTATTTGTAGGATGTCAGTGTTTTTAAAACCAGTGTAAAACTTGGTACTAGAATATATATATAAACCAGTGTAAAACTTGGTACTAGAATATATATAAAATTGGTTTCCAGATAGCAAAATATAATTAAATCTAGAGTTCTCCAGTGATGGGATGGATCTGATAAATGAAAGTGAGATCAAGCTCATCTAATCTGTGACCCACATTGCATCTTCATAGGAAATGAGTATTCAGATTTAGAGTGTTGTGACCTTAAAATCATCATGGGTTCATTGTCTGTCTCTGAACATACCCAATAATCTTCTAGGATTGTTCGAATCAATACTGGACCCCAGTATCTTCTGGTGTTTTTATCCACAGCTTAAAATGATAGAAATTTTAAGAATATATTAAGTGTACAAATGATTCTAGGTTGAAAGTATGACAAGCTAGGGAAGGATAGGATGCAAAATGACCTTTTAAAACTAAAATGAGTATTCAGAAATCATTCTATTGAAGAAAACAGGGGAACACCATTCACAAGAAGAAACTTGCGGTTTAATTGGGCAGAAACTTTCAATGGTTTTTATGACCTAAACTTCAAGGTCACCTTTCTTTATTTCCACAGTATCCCACTGGTTACACAGGTTAGCCCTATTAAATATGGGTATGGATCAGAGGTTCTCAACCTGTGGGTCGCGACCCCTTTGGCGGTCGAATGCCCCTTTCACAGGGGTCGCCTAAGACCATCCTGCATATCATATATTTGCATTACGATTCATAACAGTAGCAACATTACAGTTACGAAGTAGCAACGAAAATAATTGTATGGCTGGGTCACAACATGAGGGAATTGTATTTAAAGGTCCAGAAGGTTGAGAACCACTGGTGTAGATGAATACACAGGGGTCTGGAATTCTATAGGCAAGAATGACTGGAGACCACCTTGGAGGCTGTCTACCACAAGAGCTCAAGAAGAACATGTGGAGTTACCCAAAATTGTAAAATATTAAATTATTCCTGAAGGAAAAATAAGCAACAATTATTTGGACTGGTGGAGAATTAAGTTGCTAAATACATAAAGCACTGTCAGGTGCTGTGCTCTGCAGTCTCTCAAGATACTCCAAGTAGAAGGATCTCTGCATCAGGGGGTATGAGCTAAACTCTTCTAATGAGAATCCAAAGCATAGAGAAACATGGCTAAACGGGAATTAATTTCTTTATAGTGTAACTTGCAAGTCATACAAATGAGCCTTTATTTCTGGACAGTATGTATAATTTCAAAGCTCTGTGTTGCTTTCACAATCCCAATGATCAAAGATAATTGTCTGCTTTCAACAAAATACTTGGGCATATTCCAGAAATAACATCTGCTAAGTATTTATCTAGTACCTACCATATCACACATGTGACAGGCATTAGAAATGTAGGACTGACAAGATATAATTCCTTATAGTCTAGTAGGGAACAGACCAAAACTGAAACTAACAAATATAATTACAAATTATGCTAAAGTACACTGACAATATTGACAGGCAAGATCCAACCTTAGGGTGGTCAAGAAAGATTCTATTAGATACTGACTAAGCCAGAAAGAGAGGTGCTGAGGTAACCAGAGAGAAGGGAAGAATATCCCCTTAAAAGGGAAACGTGTGAGGAAAGACCTGGAGCAGGCAAGAACTTCATGGAAGGAAAGGATACCAAGACAGGATGGAGAGGTAGGAAGTTGCTTCATAGGCCAAGGTGTGGGCTTTGGATTTCATTCTAAATTCAATAGCAATTGATTGAAGTTTCATTCATGTAATTTATATCTAATTTTTTGTATTAAAGAGAAATTAGAGATGCACACAAAAGTAAGCAGAAGAGTTTAAAGAACGCCTATCACACAGCTTCAACAATTGTTTAATCTATATCCTCACCAACTCTTTCACCCCCCACCCGCCCAAACACACACACACACACACACACACACACACACGCACAGCAGACTATTTGGAGGCAAATCTCATATAAGAAATTTCATATGAAATATTGCCATATATATAAGATGTAAGAATTTTCTTTTTTAATATATTTTTATTGATTTCAGATAGGAAGGGAGAGGGAGAGAGAGAAACATCAATGATGAGAGAGAATCATTGACCGACTGCCTCCTGCACACCCCCCACCGTGGATCGAGGCCACAACTAGGCACGTGCCCTTGACCGGAATCGAACCTGGAACACTTCAGTCCACAGGCCTGTGCTTTATCCACTGAGTCAAATTAGCCATAGCAAGATGTAAGAACTTTTGAAGATAACACCAAAAAAAACAAAAAACAATTATTTCCAAATGTCTCCATTATTGTTTTATTTCCACTTTGTTCTTACCAGGATGCAAGTAAGGCCCATACAGTATAATTGGTTGATACCTCTCTGGTAGAATCTTTTATTTCTGTACCCTCCCTTTTTGTTCATTTTTGTCTCCTTGCAATTTTAGAAACCAGATTTTTTGTCCTGTAGTCCCCCACATTCTGCAGTTTGCTGATTGCAGTTTGACATGTTTCCCTGTATTCTATTGACAGTACTTTAGAGTGGTGTTAGCTATTTCCAAATCACTGGTTACCTTCATATATTAACTGCTATTGGTAATCATTACCTAGATATATTATTTCATTAGGGATTTCAAAATGGTGATACTCTTATTAGCTGAAGTATTTCTGTGTACTTCCATTCATCGATAATATGGTATCCTGAGTTTAGATTTATATATATACTAGTGGCCTGGTGCACGAGATTTGTGCATGGGGGCAGGGGATTCCCCTCAGCCCAGCCTGCATCCTCTCCAATTGAGGACCCCTTGGGGGATGTCCGCCCACAGGGATTGGGCCTAAACGGGTGGTCGGACATCCCTCTCGCAATCTGGGTCCATTGGCTCCTAACCACTTACCTGCCTGCCTGATCGCCCCTAACTGCCCTTCTCTCCTGGCCTGATCTCACCCCCAACTGTCCTCCCCTGCTGGCCAGGTTGCCCCCAACTGCCCTCCCCTGCCGGCCTGATCTCGCTCCCAACTGCCTCTGCCTTGGCCCCCACTACCATGGCTTAGTCTGGAAGGAAGTCGGATGTCCGGAAGATGGCCGGTTGACATGGTCTAATTAGCATAAGTTCACCCAGATTAGGTTCTGATCGGTCAGTTTTTATGTCAGCGTCAAAAGCTCCACCTCCTAAGCAGCCATTGGCTCCTCACACTTCACCCAGATTTGGTTCTAATTGGTCAATTTCTATGCCAGTCAGTGTCTCTGGGATTATCAATGGGCCTGATCAGAGAGGTGGGTCTGAACAGCAGCCCCAGTGGAGGCCCGAAAGAGAGGTGTGGCTGCTGGCCAGCCCCAGAGCGAAAGAGAAGCAAGTGCTGATCAACAGCTGTCACAGAAGCTATGGGTCAGACCCTGCTTTTCTCTCCAGGCCTCTCTTCAGACCTGATTCGCAGCCCCCTCAGCAGTCAGTGCTGGGTCAGGGCACCCTCTGTGGCACTCTCAGTGTTCCTTTGAGCCTTTGGTCGTTTTGGATGTTATAGACCCTGGGTTTTTATATATTAGGATGTGTATCTACACTAATAAAAGACAAAGATGCTAATTGACCATACCTTTGCTACGCCCTAAGCCATGCCCACCAGCCAATCAGAGTGACTATATGCAAATTAACCCAACCAAGATGGTGGCCAGCAGCCACAGAGCTGGAGCAAGCAGGAGGCTTGGTTGCCTGGGCGATGGAAGAAGCCAAGCTTCCCACCTGCCCCAAGCCAGCTGTGGCCTCCGCTCATGGCAACAAAGTTTCAATTATAGAAGACAAATAAATCCCAGATACCTGCTTCCAGCCAGCCTCCACTGGGAGCTTGGGTGACTGGGGGGTGTGGCCAGCCTGCAAACAGCCATCAGCCCCTCACCCAGGCTGGCCACACCCTCATGGGGTGAGGGTTCCCATTGGGGGCTTAGCCAGCCTGAAAATGGCCCTCAGCCCCTCACCCAGGCGGGCCAGGCACCCCAGCGGGGATCCCCACCCTGAAGGGGCAGTGGCCAGCCTGAAAACAGCCATCAGCCACTCACCTAGATTGGCCAGGCAATCCTGCAGGACGCCCCCACCCTGAAGGGGGTGTGGCCAGCCCAAAAATGACCCTCAGCCCCTCACCCAGGCTAGCCAGCACTCCTATATAATAAAAGGGTAATATGCAAATTGACCCTAATAGCAGAATGACTGGAATGACTGGTCACTATGACACACACTGACCACCAGGAGGCAGATGCTCAATGCAGGAGCTGCCCCTGGTGGTTAGTGTGCTCCCACAGGGGGAGCTCTGCTCAGCCACAAGCCAGGCTGGCAGCTGCCAGTACAGCGGTGGTGGTGGGAGCCTCTCCTGCCTCCTCAGCAGCGCTAAGGATGTCTGACTGCAGCTTAGGCCTGCTCCCCACTGGCAAGTGGACATCCCCCAAGGGCTCCTGGGCTGCCAGAGGGATGTCTGACTGCCAGCTTAGGCCCAATCCCCCAAGGAGCAGGCCTAAGTGAGCAGGTGGTCATCCCCAGAGGGTAGCGGTCATCCCCTGCGAGAGAGTACAGG